AAACTAGAAAAAAAAAAGGAAAAAACAGATCCTGAGAAATAAAATTAGTGCTGAGAAATAAAATTAGTGAGAAGGAAAAAAAAATTAAAATTAAAGGTGCTATATGCATGTATCCAGGGACTTGCTCAGTCATCCTTGTCTTTTGCTCCATGTTTCAGGATGCGTGTGAATTCGATGTAGTTGAAATTGCCCTTTTTGTCGATGGGGGCCTCTCTGTACAGCTCATCCACCTCTTCATCCGTGAACCTGTCTCCCATCGTGGTCAGCAGCTCCCGCAGGTAGTCTTCTTGGATGAACCCTGGAATGAGACATGCAGAGAGAAATGCAAAAGGGAGGCCGAGCCTCTCAGCTGGGTCTCCAAAAGCAGCAGCACAACGTGCACTCGGACAGGCAATTAACCACTGCAGCACGTCATATATTACATTTGCATTTGCACAGAGCCCCAACAAATCTCCTTAACTGAATTCTAAAGAATTTCCTTGAGTGCAAAGGGAAAGGAAGTTTAACACATTTCATACACATTTTTGAAGACAGGGCCTGACCTGCTGTGGTATAATAACACTTATTTCCATCTACTGATCTTCAACGGCTCAAAGTGGAAAAACAAGTTCCTGTGACTGTTAGTCTTCATTATACAAGCAGTTCTCTTAAATGAACTATATTTTTCTTGCCTTAATTAGATATATTTGAACATCCTCTATAAACTAGTTTCCCCTGGGGACTAAATAACCACTCTGGCTCTTCAGTGCTGCACAACACTGTTGCCGGAGGCAGTTTATGTGCATACAGTGAAGTACTGGCAAGTGTCCAGGGAAGTAGTTTATAACAGAAGAGACTTTCAGACAGGACTGAGCAAGTTAGCTCAGGAGGCAGGAAGAATGTTTATGGTGGAGAGCTAAAGGTGGAGAACCCAGTAAAAAAAAAGAGAATAGGATGTATTATTTATTATATGCTAAAAGAGCAGAAGATTTTCAAGGAAGTTAACAAAGATATAAAAAGGAGCAGTTTCTAGGTATCTTCTGCTAATTCTATTTCAAGAGATGGGCAAAACCACCAGTTGCCAAGTAATTCCAGGAAAATTTAGAGATTGAGAAAGAACCACACATAACGAAGGGTAGACAGTAGAATGCAGAAACTGATAAATGCTGATATACGACCAGACATATCTGCAAATATACGACCAGACATATCTGGAAATCATATGTAGACACCCACATCAACTAATGTAGATTCAATTAGAATGTGATAAAAAAGTGCTGCTTTGGAAAGAGAGATGCATAAGTTAAGCAAACAGAGATCATTAGAGAGACAAAACCAAATAGGGAATCAGGGTACCAAAAAGCAGTCAATGAGCATGACAAATTAGCATGGGGGTGGTATATGCTGGGGGAAGGGGAAAACGTGTTTTAACAGATGCTAATGAAAACAGCACCATATTGCAGTGTAGACCAGCCCTTGGATTCTGACTGCAAATGAAGAAGGCTAGCAGCAATCTTCTACTTGAGCAACAGGGAGACTTTTCAGTTAGCAAGGCCCATCCTAAGCAGGTCAAACCTTGGAGTTCTCTCTTTGAAGATGGACATAAAGAAGAGGGAAAATGCAGCTAAACAGATGAGACTCTTTCTGCTGTCCTACAGAGACCAAGCAGTCGTGAGAGATGACATAAGGATTAATATTCAAAGAATGCAAGGCCTTTGGTGCTGCAAGTTTAGCCTCAAGGACTTAATTGCTCCTGTCTGAATAGGTAGTTGTTTAAACACTGAACTGGGGCTGCCAGACCAGGAATAAGCCACAAGTTTTATCAGCAACAAATTGTAAAGCAAACAGGGCTCCTGTCCCTCCCACACAGCTTCAGCATAGGTGGGGGAGTAACAAATAAATAAAGCAAAACTTAACATTCAGCCTCTTGCAACAGCACACACCAGACGACAATGCAGGATCAAAGACCGGATAAAAATACTCCAAATGCAGACAGATCTAACTTTTATACCAATTCCATAGCACTACACATGATAGTAATGCTGAACCAACATATCCAACTATGCTGGCAATATAGGAAATGTAAGTAAAACCTAACAAGTATGACTACCTTATCCTCATCTGTAGGATCTGATTTGTATTACTCCCTTTCAAAAGACCTAGACTGATGTACAGCTAGAAAATCAGGCCCATAATAAACACACATGTGGAGATGATGAAATGAAAAAAAAATAGTAAAAGAGTTTGATATAGCTGGAAATGCTCTTGTACATTTTTAAAAGGAACAAACTGATCAGAAGCCAAATAAGAGGATACAATTAATAAAGGATGAACATGACATGGGTTTTACGAATACATCACATGCTATTTTGAAGACTTCATTTTGATTATTATGAATCAAAACTCAATAAAACAGTGCAACTATCTCACATTTCCTGGTTACAATTTGAGGGTGGCATAAGATACAAAACAGACTGTAGAGCAAACCAGTATCTTCAAATCATGGTAGGACTAGACTAAAACATGTACCACACAGAGCTGAGAGATATTAAAATCAATCTTATCAGTATATGTGTGCCCAAACTAGTAACTTATTGGTTACGTAGACACAGAAGTTTCTGTTCCAAAGAACTGATAGCAACAACCATTTTCTTTATATTGTAATTCACAGGCTCTTGTTTTGCTGCACACAAAAAACACTGTGTAGCACAGTGAGTCAGACTACCTGTGGAGAGAAAATCATTAACCTACTAACAAACTTCCTTCTCTAGGAAATGGTAAAGAGATTTCCCTTGAGAGGGAGGAAGTTGACTGACATTTGAAAAGGCCTTACCAACAGAAAGCCTGTTTACCTACACCTCAGCAGGAAGGCCATGCACTTTGAAAAAGCAAAAGGTGCTAAAAATACACAGACTGAAAACAGCTGTTGAAACGGAAGGATATCCTTCAAAAGGTGCAGAGCATATATCAACTGGTTAGGTTAAAACATTTTGGAGGACAGTTGTGAGGAAAAGCGTAGATGCAGTGTCATCACTAGTACAGAGGCTACATAATTTCAATGTGAGATAGTAAAACAAGTTCACAACATATCAAAGCACTGATACTCTAATTCCACAGAATTGCCTTAAGGATTACCATAAACCTCCTGGTTACTACACACTTCTCAGGAATCTTAGCCTAGGTGAATAAATACATAAAAGCATAAACTCTAATCTCAAGATTACAGGCACAACCTTGAAAATCTGATATAGTAAAACTGAGTTCTGTGTTTTACTCTTTCCCTTCATCTTGCTTTTCAAGTCAGTCCAATCTGTCATTTCTGCCTTCTACACCCCACCTGTTTTTTATCTTTAGACCACTAAGACTGCAGACCTTCCTGCAATCTGAAAGCAAACTGAGCTGCAGGTGAGGGCATGATATCTGTCCTCAGAGCCATAAAGAACGCTCAGCCAGAGAGCATTTGTAAGACTTCATGAAGCCTGGATAGAGTGTCTTGAAATATTAAACACATGAAGAATTTAGATGCATCTCAGACCTTTTGCAGAGGGGGGACAAACTCAGTTTTATGACAGATTTCCTATCATTACCTTTTAATGCCATAAACAATCACACGTTACTGATTTGAGTTCCTCATCTTAGAGCAAACCTCTTGTTTTACACTCTGAGGAACATACACACTGCCCAATTAAAGCTCTCTTCTTCAAAGTCTCACAGAAGAACAGTCCTACTTGTCCTCAGTACTGACACAGAACAGTCAGACAGACTTTACTCTCATCCAGTAATTTAGCAGAATATGCCATCTAGGATTACCATCTCATATTTAATTTATAAAGGTGCAAAAATCAGCATACTGTTAAAAAACCCAAATAACAAACCAAATAATAACCCAGCCATACCCCTGCCAAGCAGCCAAATTGCATCCACGTACCTGTTGCTTCTTCATCAAAGCAAGCAAAAGCATTCCTGATTACATCCTCTGGGTCGGTGCCATTTAACTTCTCACCAAACATAGTGAGGAACATGGTGAAGTTGATGGGGCCTGGAGCCTCATTCATCATGGCATCCAGGTATTCATCTGTTGGATTCTTTCCTACAAATAAAGGGATTCATACTTGGTTCAGCTTTCAAACTGAAAAAGTAATTTCAGTAGTGTTAATACAAACCGAGCCACCTCTCATATTCCAAACTCAGTGTTTTGATGCGTACAGCACAAATTTGCCTGGCAAGCATGAACAGAAAAAAGGGACATTACCAAGGGAGGCGAGCATGTCGTGCAAGTCCTCTTTGTCAATGAAGCCATCCCTGTTCTGGTCGATCATGTTGAAGGCCTCCTTGAATTCCTGGATCTGCGACTGATCGAACATCGCAAATACATTGGAAGTGGCGCGCTGAGGGCGCTTCTTGGTGGTCTTCGTCTTTGCCTTTTTGCTAGACATGTTGATTTTCGGACACTAGGGAGAAAAAGAAATACAGTAAATGCAGTAAGATAAGAGCTAGGATTTTAAAAAGGAGAAAGTTTTACGGTTTAATGTTACAGCGCGCCTCTAACGCACTCTCATTTCCTCTCATCAGAACGTATTTCCCTAGTATTTTCAGGAAGGGAAAAAGAGAAGCAGAAAATATGGATAAAGAAAAGACAGACTAATAAACCAGAAGAGGAGTCATTTTTAGAAGACGCAAAGAAACTTAAATTTTAGTCTCGGAAGGGCCCTCACCCCAGCGGCGCTGCGGGGACCAGGTAGGGAGCGGACACGGAAGGGAGGAAGCGGCGCCGGCGGATGCTCCAGCGCTTCCCGGAGAAACCATCGCCCTGCCGGGCCGCGGGTGGGGACGACCGCCGGGAGAGGCTGCGGGAGGGCAGCGAGACGGCAGCCGGGGCTTTCCCTTAGGGATCGCAGCCTGTCCCGGCTTCCCTGGGCGGCGGCAGGCTCGGCACGGCCCCGCGGCTTCTTCCCCGGCGCCCCCCGCCCCGGCCGCGTTGGAGCATCCCGGGGGAAGCGGCCGCCGGCGCTGGATCCCGGCGCCGCCTGCAGGGCCGGGATGGAGACAGCCTGTGGGGACGGAGCTGAGGGCGCTGCTGCGGGCAGCGGGGCTGCCCGTGGGGTTGTTCTTTTGTTTGCACAAAACCTGCGCACGCTGAAGGTGGAGCGTCGCTCCGCGCTCCTGCAGCGGCGCCGGCGCCCGCGGCGGGCCCAGGTTCGCACGGTGGTGCCACATCGGGGCTGAGGTGAAGGAAGCCTCGTCATCGCCGGGGACGTCCTGCCCGGATCAGCAGGTGTGAGGTGTTATCCTTACCTTCCTGAGGTGTTATCCTTACCTTCGGGCTTCCTCGTGCTTCGCTTGGGGGAGCAGAAGAATTCCAGGTTGCATCTTAAAGTCTTCTAAGAAGTGGGTGCTCCCGCAGGAGCGAGGCCTAATGCCTCTCGCAGCCATAGATTGTAAGGCCATCTGGAGGATTTATTTTTGCATATATTTTCTTAATGAAAAAGGATGACACATATTTTTCCATTCATCATTTGAAGTAGGATCTCAAATAAATTGAGGTACAAAGTTTTTGTATTGTAGGGGGATGGTGTCTGAAATTGCTTCAGAAGCAGTTCACTTTTAGCCCACTTGTACGATTTTAAAATTTTCCAAAGGGAATGCTTATTCCCATGTTGCTTGCTGAAGTCCCACATAAATAGCTTGGGCTTCAAGAAAACTGTTGTTTAGGGCACAGAAAGGTGCTGAAGGAGTCAGATAGGAAAGCTGCACTGCCAGATCATCATTCTTTGAATCCCCCTCCTCCCTGCTGAGGGCTTTGTTGGTGTGCAGGCTGTGGCTTGGAAAACAAGAACTCTTAAGGGGAAAGGCATTGGCCACGCATTGGAGTAAGCTGCCCAAGGGAGGTGATGGAGTCACCATCTCTGGAAGTGTTCAAGAAATGTCATCACATTCAAGGAGTGTCCTCCTTGAGGATTTTGGTGGTGCTGGGTTGATGGTTGGACTAGATGATCTTAAAGGTCTCTTCCAACCTTGATCATTCAGTGAAAGGAAAAAATAGACATACAAGCTTTTTCTGAAATTGTCAATTATATTTATAAATGTAAATGAACTACATTTAGCGGCTGGAGCTACTGAAATTAACATGTAATCTAATATGTAGTCTAGAAACTGCAGTCTCAGATTTGAAGGGAGACATTTTAATTGCCAAGAGGCCTAACTTTCTTTCCCTCTCTCCTCTCAAATCAGAAGTTATTTCATGAGAGCTGAGAATTTGGCCTAATTAGTTTATATTACTTCCCCAATTAATTTTAATATCACTCTTCTAAAGTTTGCCTCAAAGTGCAATAGAAACTAAGACTAAACTTAGCTAAATTGAAAGTCTATTAATGGAAAAATTTCAGGTAAAAATTCTCTGCTTATTAGACATAGCACATAGTTTCAAGATAATTACATGCAAAGTATGAGTGGGCAGAAAAGCAGTAGAAATATTAAAATGTTAAGAGAGTTAATAAAATAATTCCTGATAATATTGAAGAACTGAACTGTGTGTTGAAATTTAATTATCAAAAGCTATCTGATCTCTTAATTTAAACTTCTTTCATCACTTACTTTAAATTGAACCACTACTGCAAACATGCCACTCTGTCTTGTATTGTTTTTCATGCTATTAAAAGGGTGTTACATGATGCCTGTCACCGTGTATGCTATTCTCAGTGTTTAACTTCTGCAGATGTGGGGATAAGTGCACTAATATTATTTGCCCAGTATGAGATCAGTTCTTAACAACAAAATTGCATGTCAGTGTGTGTCTCTTAAAGCTTTTGTCTTCAATTTGTTACATCATGGTGGAATGAGAAGCAGTTCCTACAGGCAGACCATTTTCTGTTTGATGTAAATTGAAGTAATGCTTTTAGAAGTTGTTCAATTTTACTTGATTACAGCACTCATCATAGCAATAAAGAAATTTAAAGGGAAAAGAAAATATTTGTTTTACCTTTTACAATATTTGTAGGATATTTTTAACTTGTTGACATAGATGTTAAAAAGGGAAAAAACTAAGGGTCTTTTTTTGTGAATGTGGTGCTTCCCGAGAGCTGTGCATCAAACTTTCAGAACAGAAATGATCCTTTCTGAAAAGATAGTTCAAAAAAATTGCTGAGCTCTTAACTCTTTTTTTTCCTATTTACTTCTTTCCTTCATTACTTCCTTCTTCTTTCTAATTTATGTCAGTCTTGTTTAAGAAAACAACCATTTTAAGCAAAATTAGTTAATTGTTCTTATCCTTTCTGTCTAAAATACTCTGATTTTGTTCCACTGAAATGCTTCTTGTCTTTGATTTGTCAAAAAGACGTTCAAAATTATCTGTTTCAAACTTAGGTTTTAAGACTAGTACAGACAGTGAGCAATTTACAGTAAACCTTTTCCCGCCTTTCATTTAGTTCTTTCGATTAACAGTTGAACTTAGAGGTATTTTCCAACTTTTAACAATTCTCTGATTCTATTTCCCCACCTTTGCTGAGTTACAGTGACAGTGCAAATATTTGTCATTAACTGGGTTGCTTAATGAAGCAGAATCAGTTTGTCTCTTCTGGCGTTTCTTTATTAATCTAATGAATGTTGCAGGAATGGCTGCAACTGGCTCACTGTAAAAGTCTGCCTAGACCCGTGCACCCCAGCTGCAAAGAGATGTGGATTCTGGATGTGGAAGGCAGGGAGCAAAGTCTCAGCAAAAAAATCTTGAGACTAGGGATGGGGAAGCCCAGCAGTTGCTTTTTCCATTTCTAGGTTGGAGCACCACTGGGATGGATCTACTGATTTCTTGGATGCCCTCAAGAAGTAATACCTGCTATGAGGCCTTCCTTACCAGGTCACTGGAGAGTTTTATAGTTTTGGATTTTTTTTTTTTTTTGGGGGGGGGTATATAGCTTTTTCTATACTTGTGGGTTTTTTGAGAATATAGAGTATATGGGGTGTTTTTAGCCTGTTCTTTAGGGGAGGGCAGCAGCAGTGGCCATATGCAGGTACTTAGGGAAGAATAAGAATCAAGGTAGCCTATGATATCTTCCCAGAATGCTCTCCCAATATATACTATTTTTAGTTCATGGAGGGATAAGCTATCCTGAGCCAGATGTGATATTTAGTAACCCACAATGAGTTTCTTTCATTAACTTGCCTAATACGTAATCCCTGACTTGATATAAGTTTAGCATCCACAGTATGCTTTGGTGGTGTTTTTTGGAACACTTTGCAAGGTTGCTATTTGTTGCATGAAAAGCTGCACCTTACTGACTTGACCATACCTATTGCAATGTTTATTCCATGCTCTAGACTTTGTATTGGAAGAACTACTAAAGCTGAATTGTATGTCCATTTCTTTTGTGTTACTTTTGCTTCTAGAAAGCTCGTGAGTTGTTCTTGTCTCAGCTGTAGCAGACAGTCCCACTTAGTTAGATTCTCTTGTAGAGAAATCAATTCCATATCCTTGGTCATCATAGAAATAAGACTGAGGATATGCATAAGAAACAAAAGGGTCTGAAAAGACAGACTAGAAGAAAAAGCAGATGTGTGATTTCCACATTAAGAATTAAAATAGTTTGAAAGTTGAGAGGAGGGGTTTTCTGTTAGGAGATTTTTTCCTGACCATATTATCACTGTTCAACAAATATTAATTATGGAGATTAAGTATTGACAGCAGAGTCATAATTAAACATATCTATCTAAGTTTTAGGTCTAAACTATCATTTGACAAAAGCATTTTGTCTGTCAGTTTCTTCACCTGGTATTTTGGCTCATCCCTCTGCCTTTCCATCCCTTCATCCCTGATTCCAGCTGGCATCTGTTGCCTCTGTCTAGCTGTACTATGTGCAGTATCAGTCAGAGTGACAGTTGCTTTTTTTGAGATGCTGAAAGCATCACAAAGTTTTCTGGAATTTCTCCAAAAATAACTCCAGTGCTGTGATCCAAGGGGAAAACATTTGAGGAGTCATGAGTTAAAGAAGGGATTCTGAAATGTGTCTTCACTTGAGTCTCTTGGAGGGCCTCAGACTGCAGGTTATTCCCTGTTTTCATTCAATGACCTCATGAATAAATATGGTTACTGCTTTCCTAGGTGGTCCCTGCCACATGGTAGATGCTGAAGCATGAAAAATAAAGGCTCTCAGAGGATGTAGTGGAGCCTGTAGAAGAAACACATTCTTTCTCTATACTGAAAATTAAAAATAGCACAGCTTTGACTTCCTAATAACTTCCAGTGTGCATGGCTGAGGAAGAGGTAAGAACATGAGTTCTCTAGTGCATTATGACAGTGATATAGCACCTCAAAGGATAAAGCAGACATACTTAATGGAATGTAAATAAAATGCAGTCAGTCTATGAAATGTTGTAAACAGGAGAAACCAAACTTCAGTATATTTATTTAAAGCTGCATCTCAGTGATTATATGAATGGGCACTGACATGTGTTTGACAGGGTATTGAGGGACTTTACTCAGCAGACATGATACTCCTTGCATTCCCAGATCCCTAGTCCTTTATACCTAAAGAACACAAGTTAAAAACCCCAACTAAACGTTGTAAAGTACATCTTTGGCTGTTGGGCTGTTGATTTCTGTTGGGTTTTTGTTCCCTGTTCTCTATGATCAAAGTCACTGTTCTGCCTCTTGTGCTATATGTCCATCCTTCTTTTTTATCCTAGCTGGTAAGTTGCAATAATTCTAGCCAAGTCTTTGTGGAGTTTTCAGCTCTTCTTGCACGAGTTTTAATCAGGAGTGTTGCCAGACACTGTGATTCCATAAAGCTAAGAACTGAAATGTAAAAATCAGCATTGGTAGGTATTCTTAAAAAGGAGAGCTGAAGGCCTTCAGTCTTTAAAACAAATGTAATTAATTCTGCTAAACCTAAGGATGTGCATATCTGCTCTCTCCTTGTGTGTTAGAGTTTGTATCTGTCTGACAATGTGTATGTACAAATATGGAAGAAAATTAAATGTGCTCAATGCTTGGCCATAAGTCTAAAATAGTATTTTAAAACATACTCGGGAAACAAGAAGCAGCATATTTAGTCAGGTGTTTCACATGAGAAGTAAGCCGTTATCAGTTTTCTTATCAGGTGATGCCTGTGCATGTTTTGTTGGCTGGTGGAGCAATTTCAAAATCAACATATTTCTTATGGGGTGGGAATATCTTGCCACTGCCTTTTGTGTTAGGGACGGTTAGCTCACAATTGAGGAAGAATTCAAAAGAGGGAAAAACCCCAGTGCCTGTTAGATACAAGGCTAAGTCAAGGTTCAAGTAACTCATGTCTGATGTCAGCTCTATTTTAGCACATACTAAGACAAGTCTTACAGGCCTCAATTTACACCCACTTACTTGAATATGCTTGGCACAGGCTCGGAATTATTGTGAAATGCTGTCTTTTAACTGTCAAGGACTATTCATAGTTAAAAAACAAACCAAAGCCTATTTAAATATTTAGTGAGGTTGTATTCAGTGATACCCTAAAATAGTGAGGATTAAAAATTAAATAAACCTTGCAAAACTAAGCAATTTACAAGAACAGTAAAATTACTAATACAGGTGCCTAAACAACCAGATAGTGGCAGCAGCAAAGTTAGTCTCAACCTGCCTAAAGCTGTAGTATTTGTTACTGACTTTTAAGCTTTATCAAAGTGCAGTGCTGCTTTACTGGGGGACTGAATGACAGAAGGATGGCAGAAGAGTCTGCATGCAGCAAAGAGTTGGTATTTTCCAGGAGGCCAGTTTGATTCCCCACTCTTCTACTAAGTGCGTTCTGCTGAGAAGCATGTAAACATCTTCCCTCAGATTTATTACATTGATATGAACTGCCTGACCCCTTGAGTCCCATGATGCAGGGCCTATTACGTATGGCCTGTAGGGAATATCACACTTCTGGTCTGAAAACATTCCTTGGCACTGTTTTTACCCATGGGCTGCAGAGAAAAATAGGAAAATGAGCCGTGTGCTCCCACCTTTTTTTTTTAAGATGGCAAGTTTTCTATCTGGTATATCAAAAGTTTGGGAAAACAGTGATCTCTGTGGAGTTGCTGTGCAGAGCACAAAAAGAAACCAAACAAAAAGCAAGAGCTGTGTGGAGGGTTCTCCCTCCACAGTATTACTTTTCAGTATTTCGTGGTAACTTAATTTTAAGATGCATTTTAAGATGCATTTACTGAGTTCTTTTCCCCTTTGTGTTGTTCCTAGTTTCTGCAATACCATTTCTGAGTTATTGTAATCCTGAATCATTTTTTCAAAGGAGAAAGTTATCTAAAAATGACAGTAGGGTTCTGAAAAATGAAGTAAGAAGCCAAAATAGGAGCATGGGTGCATAAGCAATACCAAGGGAGGATTAACTGCTGATATCTAAAATGTTCCTGACTGTACTTTGTTACTCACCCCTTGTTTGGATTTACATTGTAGGAGTATCTTTGCTTTTGTTGTTTGAAATTCCCCAGGAACATCCCAAATAATAGGTTAGTAACACTCCAGACTAGAAAAGGCCATGAGAAATATGTGATGACGAGATTTCAGCTATTTTCCAGCTTTTGGATCGAATGCAGGTGTCAGGGCACAAAGGCATGCTGTCACTGATGCCCTGTGCCAGGATGGGGCCGCTGTGCTGCATTCATTCCTCCAGATACCACAGGGATCCTAGAAACAAGCGATCCAAAGATAGTCCATAGGTCAGCAGTGAAACGAATCCTTGCTCTGGAGTGTAGGGACACCACCTCTGTGACATCCCCTAGCTGCTGAGCTAGTGTAACAAGCTGCCTTCATGTTGTGAAATGCTTGTCATCTGATCACAGTGCCATAAGGATGGGTTTATTTGCTTAAACAGAGAGCAGAAACAAGTGTAAAATTACTTTTAAATTGCACACTACCTTTATCTCCAGCAACAGAGTAGGGACGAAAAGGGAGCAGGAACAGGCAAACGTTCCTTGGCAGCACTTGACACAAACATTGTCCTCTTTGGAGGTTTCTCATGCAGCCTCGGTAGTTCTTTGGCTTCATTTTGACTTCTGCATTCGTAGCCTTAGAACAGGGTAAGTGGGTCATGTAAAATAAATCACTGCTTTTCAGTAGTGCTTCACAGGCCATTACAGATCACTGTAGATGTAAGACTATTAAATGTGTGCATGAGCCTATGAAAATAGCTTTTCATCATAAGCTTAATCTGGTGTGGAGGTTGGAGCCTGTTATATATGAACCCCAAGGGAGAAAAGATTAGGTTCCAAGATTTTGACTGCAAAATGCTAAGGCTAAGTCATCAGAATTTTAAGCTGTTTCAGTGACCAAAGTTATTTTTATTTTTGGAAGTGAATTATTGATGACACATCCCCACAGCCCTCGGCATGCAACCTCAGCTGTCACATTCCTCCTGCCTAGCTACAAAACACATCTGATGCTCTTATATGGTCTCTTGGCTGGGGTTATTGGTCTTGTAGCCTCTCAGCAGTTAAGGGGTTTGTGCCCACTTGCAAGTTAACTGGTCTCCTACAATACAAAAAACCAGAAACTGGCACTTGGAAGGTTGTCATTATACTCACACACCCTTGGATATTCTTTCTCAGTAACACATCTTCCTGAGTAGGTATCTTTACCTCTGCACAGGTCTCGCCCTCTACTCAGAAGGAGCATCCAAGGAACAAAACAGCTACATCCCACATTTCAGCTGGCTGTTCAGAAAGCAAGAGCAGCAGAATATTTTTGAAGTGGACAATTTCCTCTCAAGGAGGATACCAGGATCTCTTTTATGTAGCTCATATTTAAAATTTTAAAATTGCTACTCCCAGCAAGAAAAATCCAGCTGGCACAGCTGCTGCTTTCTCAGTGTAACATACCAGCACCTAACATTTACATAGAGAACAGGATCAGAAAAAGAACGGTTTAGGGATCCAGGGTTCCTAACAAAAGTAAGCTGCTCTCTGAATCTTAATGCCATTTAGACACTCAAAGGGGAAAAAATAATCAGTATCTTGCATATGTCCTTCAAGCAGACATGTATGCACGCAGTGCCGAATTGCAGAGGTGACAAGTCTAAAAAAGTGACAGCATAACTTTTCTGCAGCCTAACATTACATAGCAAGATTTCAACCAGACAGCTTCCTAAATCCCCACTCTCGTCTTTGTCACAAGGCCACTGCTGGTGAAAGCTTCCCTGCATACTTGTAAACTACTTCCTAGAACCTTGCAGGTGTCACCTGGAGAAGTAACTCAGCAACCATTACTGAAGAGCACCGAGGTAGTTAAAAAGCAAGCTTTCAAAAAAAAGGAGCAGCTGTGGCAACTTAAAGTAGTGTTACATAATGTGGGTAAGAGACAAACTGAGGCTAGCAGATAAAAAACAGAACTGGGAAAAGAATGTTTGAAAACTCACTTTTAATTAAGCCTGTAAGTGTAAAAAAAACAACCTAGAATAAAAAATTAGTCCAAGTATGCCAACTCAGTATATTTTGTCAAGTTATTTACAAACCTGAAGCCAGAATATCCTCCAGAGTTGCCATATGGGAACACAAGCAAGATTAATAACCAAGCCTTCATGCTATCACACACTAAATAAGACAAACTCACCTTACAGGATAAGCTGTCAGAGCCTTTACAATCCTTTGTGCTGAATTCCTACTCCTTGGGGTCTTAAGTCATGTGATTAGCCGAGGTCATTGTTTTAATTGATAAATACATAGGCAAAATAGATTCTCTTCCTGCTTTGTCACTTGCAGTAGCCAAGAGAATGAGGCACAAAGAAAAGCATGGCCATATTAAGAACTAACTCCTCTTTTCTTTGTATTTGAGACATCAGCACATCCAGCTCTGAATGACTGACTTTGGTTAAAAGCCACCTTACCAACATAACTAAGGAATATGTATGATATTTTAAAAAGTGAGAGCAACTTCAGCACCTGTAAGGTTTTACCAAGTTAATTCTCAGAATGACTTGGTTCAAAATCTCACATGCAAAAGAATTAGCTGTAGAAAAATAAAGCAATGTGTAAGTTTTCTGGCCATGCATTGCTGTTAATTAGTGCCAGCACAGACTCCTTTGCATAAGCTTCCTTCAGCAGAAGGGAAAAAATATGCCTAATTCCCCGTTACTTAGCAAAGAATAATGCACACTTTGACATGAAAGTACTGCTAGAAAACCCATCAATATTAAAAGGAATCAAAAGCTGGGCATAGTATCTGCTTAAGAATCAGGTATTCTCTGCTGGCCATGAGGCAATTGTAACAGTCTTCCCTAACCATTTATCTGATTAACTACTCACACAGTAGTCAGATCCCACTTCAGAAATCTGATAGACTTCTGCAGCTGAATTTTTAAAGAATCCAGAAGATGCTGCTGTCAACCCTGTGACACTGAACAAAACACTGTGAAAATTAGTTTTCTAGCTTGACTTGCAACTGCAAGAAAAATACAATGAACACACCTGCATTTGTAAATGTGCAATAGAAATGTCATTCTTCACAAAAGATTTTGAGGTATTTTATCTATATAGCAATCTTTATTTCAAAATGGCATTTATTACAAAAATGTAAAAATCCAGCTAAACCAGAAACATTGAGATTACTTTCCTGGACTATCAACTCCAGGGAATGTTTTTCCTGTAGCCTTTCCCTCAAAATATTTTCCCTGCTTCCAGTCTTGATTACAGGTGCAAATGTGCCTAAATGGCCTGGAGTAGATAAATATATTGAAAAAGACAAAAGCTTTGGAGCTAAATGCATGCAACAAGTTCTATCAGGAAGAAACCATAGAAAATAAACATAAATGTAGAGATAATGTGCAGGTATCCAGGGACTTGCTCAGTCATCCTTGTCTTTTGCTCCATGTTTCAGGATGCGTGTGAATTCGATGTAGTTGAAATTGCCCTTTTTGTCGATGGGGGCCTCTCTGTACAGCTCATCCACCTCTTCATCCGTGAACCTGTCTCCCATCGTGGTCAGCAGCTCCCGCAGGTAGTCTTCTTGGATGAACCCTGCAGCATAGTGTAGGACAGAAGAGGAGTTTTTATATTTATCTGCTGGGTGATAATTTCTTTCTTTGAGTTCTTTCCCTCAATTAAAGATACCTACAGTCTTCGTCTGCCAACTGAAAACAATGCCATCAAACCCTATTACTAAAATTGCCAAATAATTACAAGGATTCAATCAAATCAGGCATCTTAGTTTGAAAGGTCCCACTACTTCAAATAAAGACAATTATATGTTTTGCCTGTGGTGTACCAAAGAATATAAAATTTATCAGTATTCATACTGGACATTCTTTCCAACAGCAGGGCTACACTCCCAATGGTACCAAGAACCTTATAACTCAGTATTTTAAAAATTACAAAGAGGATCAGTTAACCTTGAGCGTTCCTATTGAAAAACTACCAAAAAGAAGTCATGGAACTTGACTATTAACATTCAACAAGTGAATGAAACATAGGAAATTTTACAAAATTTCAAATTGATCTTAAATCACTGGTAAAACTCAGATTTACCACACCGGTTGCAAAGAATAAATTCTTGGCGTGGTTTATTATACAAGGAGGCTTGTCTAAGTTGTGATTGCTTTTATCGTCACTCCTGTGAGTCACACAAGAATTATCTTGCATTCATTTTTTTCTCCTTTTAGTGCACCTTAAGAGAGGGAAGGTAGATACAAGTTGCTGATAGAAAAGTTCTTCATAGAAGCACAACAGCTTTGAAAACAGTGATTCCCTTCATAAAAGCAGCTCCAAAGGTGAATTTTAAGTTAGGAATAAATTAAGACCCTGGTTCCCAATCAACATCTTTTATACTTTCTCCTGTTTTGAACAACAGAGTGAACTTCCAGAAATTTGAAATTTCTACAGCGACTGAAAGGCAAATTTAGCACATGATGATAGAGTCATGATTTTCAGCTTGCAGAAATGACAATTTTCAGAATTAAAAAACTGATCACCGCTTCTATGAACACAAGTATTTGTTGTTACAGAAGTAAGTAGAAGTAATACATGTACACTGTTGTTCTTTCACCCACGTACCTGTTGCTTCTTCATCAAAGCAAGCAAAAGCATTCCTGATTACATCCTCTGGGTCGGTGCCATTTAACTTCTCACCAAACATAGTGAGGAACATGGTGAAGTTGATGGGGCCTGGAGCCTCATTCATCATGGCATCCAGGTATTCATCTGTTGGATTCTTTCCTATAAATAAAGGGATTCATACTTGGTTCAGCTTTCAAACTGAAAAAGTAATTTCAGTAGTGTTAATACAAACTGAGCCACCTCTCATATTCCAAACTCAATATTTTGATGTTTGCAACACAAATTTGCCTGGCAAGCATGAACAGAAAAAAGGGACATTACCAAGGGAGGCGAGCATGTCGTGCAAGTCCTCTTTGTCAATGAAGCCATCCCTGTTCTGGTCGATCATGTTGAAGGCCTCCTTGAATTCCTGGATCTGCGACTGATCGAACATCGCAAATACATTGGAAGTGGCGCGCTGAGGGCGCTTCTTGGTGGTCTTCGTCTTTGCCCTTTTGCTAGACATGGTGGCTGTTGGTTCTAAGGAGACAGAAATACATCCAGGATTTAGCCTTATTAAATCACATTGCAAGTTCTTGGGGTAGAAGGACATCAGGTTTCATGTTTTTCATGTATTTGGCATATACCCCAAAGTACACATTTATTTCAGTATCTCCTGCTCCATTTTCTTTCAGACTTCACTTGCTGTGAAAGCATCAAGCCTTTGAGGATTGAGGGACCACCACTGTAGGCCAATAGGAGGCTACATCAAAAAACACAGATTTCAAATCATAGCTCTTGAAACTCACACAGTGCTTGTATTTCTGATTCAATACTCCAGCCTGCATCTTCCACAAATTAAGTCAACTACATCTTCAGAAATTTGGGAGGCACTGTTGACATAGTAGGCTATGTGCTGCTAAACTAGTACACTAGTACTAGTGGTTAAATAGTATGCTAAACTAACATTTTGGAGGGGAAAAAAATGTATTTTTGGCTCTGAGAGAGAGAGCACCAACTTGGTTCAAAAGCTCTACAGTGCTAGTCCCTTATACAGTGGAACTACTACACAACAGATGCAAATGCTAGCACTCTTTTTAAAATTAATTAAAAGTATATACTTTTACTTCATTTTAAAATGAATTAAAAGTATAATAGCTACAAAAATGTGAAGACGGTTTATTTTAAGCTACCAGCCCTTAGAAACATTTATATGTTTTTATAAATTTTCACATATCACTGGTATACTAATGTCATTTTTTCCCTTGAAGCTGTCAAATGAAGAAATAAACATGGTAGATTATTATATATTATAACATTAATACATTCAGGGTAGAAGTGAGGCTTTTAAGTTTACTGCATCTCTTTATCTGGGAAGATACATGTAGTGTCTCAACTAAATGTATGGCAGCACAAACTGGAAAAGCTGAGTCATTCACTGAAAGGCGAACACAAAGTCCTCAAGATTTCTTTTGGATCAGAAGTTATACCCCTTTTTAATGTTGTTTCCAAAAGCCACCTCTGCTTGCATTAGCTAAAACTAAAGTGTAATACATACTGCTAAAATCCTTCAAAATGCTCAAACAAAGTGTTATGCAAACCAGATTCCTTCAATCCTTGACTTGAATTTTACAGGAAGCACCTGTAGCAAGTGCCTCCTGAAAGAAGAAAAATTTAAGTTTCACCTGTAATTGCAAGAATATCAATATTCTGAAATTTACACTAAGTATTAATTTTATAACTTAGAAACAAATTATCTGGTCAGAAAAGCAATGCTAATTGGAGTCGTAGCACAGTTCTAACTGTTTCTCAGATAGTTTTCTCAAAGATATAGTATTTTCTGTTAGACTCCTGAAAAGCAAGAATGAAGTCACTAACTGGGATTCATCCTTAACAAAAAAAAAGGGAGTAAAATTAAGCAAAGTAACTCCCTTATACAATCAACTCAATATGCAGGCAAAAAGCAAATATTTCTGGTTTGTTTTTTTTTTTTTTTTTTTTTAACTAAAAGGAAAGACATTTTACCTTGCTTTGTATTAGATACCTGACAGGGTGCACCAAGCATCTGGATCATAAAAGGAAATTCCATGGTTATGGCCTTCTCAGTCTGTCCTCACAGACAGCTACTGATGTCTCCTGCCAATTCCACACTTTTAAATCCTATGTGCATCTACAACGTTCTTCTGACGTACAAACAAACCATTATGTCCTGAAGTAAAAATAGCCCATGAAATGCAACTGCGCATCGCCCAACAACGCAGACGTTCTCTCCAGTGCACTCACTAACCACCAACTACCCGAGATGTCTGGCCTCCACAACACTGCAACAAATAAATGTGAACTCTTGACTTTGAGATACTTACGTAGACAGCTGACAACAAAGGTAGTTTGCTTTCAAGCTGCAGCCAAGGGCTGTGCATAACTTTGGTGGTTTTCTCACCACTTTACAAAGCCTCAGGCAAGCTCTCATTTAACTCTGGGTTATTGATTAGAAGTTCCACTACTCAAAATAGAGCCAAACACTACCTTTTAATTACTCTTCTCTGAAATAAGGCAGTTTTCAGGATAGGGCTCATTCAAAGTAAACAAAAAAGTTAACTCTGCATGTGCTGATGCCAACCAAATTGATCTTTGCCTTCTTACTTTTATATGTCTCCATATTCTTTACATACATATTGCAGCTCTGTAGCCTATTATTGTATTCATAGCTAGCATTTTACCTACTCTATTAGAAAGACAAAACACGTTCCCCAGCACCTCTAAGGCCTGGGGCTCCAAGGTTCTTTGGGAACCCAGGTCAAAATGGCTTCCCAAGTTTTTCATAAACAAAGTTTAGTTCCTATCTAAAGGGGGGGAGGGGTTTCAAAAAAGGGGATAACCAGGGGTGAATTATCATCACCTCTGTCTCTAACTGGGGATTCTTGTCAATTATGCTAATTTGCTGCACATATAAAATGGTATCCACTTTTTACAGTATGCATTTTCAGCACTTTTTCATCCAGCATGTTGTGCACCATAAGGTTCCTTATAATGGTAATCCATTTTTATCATCTGTGTCTGGTTTGTAATTCTAGGATCAGTGAAAAGGCATAAGTGCTGCAAAGGCTCCCAGCAAGCCACTGCCTGCAATTCTCTCACCTACAATTCAGTCTTAAGCAAGAGGAGGTAACAAAAGCAGACTGTCAGCACATTCTTTTAAATTCTGTTGAGAAGACTGACCTATCAGAGTGTATTTTATTAGAAAACAAACAAAAAAGTGCCAATGCTTGCATTACTGTTTTCTAAGTTTCTCTGAACCAGCATTGGGAATTCCTCCAGTCCAAAAGAGCTGTCAGCCTAGCTACAGAGAAACATCAGATCTCACAGGACTGCAGTGCCCTTCAGCACAGGCATGCTGCAGCTATGCCTGAAACACTGGACTCAACTCCGGGAACGTCTGTTAGAAAAGTGGCTGGTACATTTTGGAACATTTTCAGAAAACCAAAGGCATCAATCCAGTTAGCCAAAGAGATCAATTTATGATTTAAAAGTTCCAGAAGTGTTTGCACTTTGTGTTATCCAACAAAAAGATCCACACCTAAGCCAAAACTTTTGTAATTGAAATAGGCTTAGTATAGGCTGCAAATAGAATTTGTAGCCTATACTAACTACTATACTATTATATAACTATTATACTATCTATCTACTATCTGTTAGTACATAAAAAGCAGGAATACTTCACATTAGATAGTGCAAGTCATGACATGCAGGTTTGGTCCCTTTTGTTTAATACTGTGCTGCAGTGAATGGTCGGGGCCCTGTTTTGGAAGCTGTCCAAGAAGCTTCAAATGTAAGACCTTACCTGTGAGACACATCATAAGGTATTTCTGAAAGTGTAACCTTTCTTTAGGAAGATTTTAACATAATAAAAAAAAAAAATAAATAGGTAGTAGCAGCACTGTGCTGCTTTGTGATGCCTGTATGGCCATATCCAGCCGCAGTGGATATCAAACGACAGAAGCAGAGAGAGTCATCTTGTGGTCCCTTCCTCTGGAAAGTGATAAACCCTTGGAGAAAAAAATACCCCAAGCAACTAAAAATTTTGAGCCATGCAGTAAGCTGTGAAAATTTACAGCCCACTAACAGTGGTACAAGCTGGACCTGCTCAGAGGCAGTGACCAAAAGTTATGCTTTCGAAAACACTCAGGATTTCAAAATTGTGAGTATTGTCATAACTGGAGAATCTGTCACTGACAAAAACCAAACTACCACACAATAAATCCCCAAACTCATAGCCAAGAAAGTCTCTATATGAACTAAGATAGAACATCAAACTCAAAAGTCAACCTCAAACCTAAATCCCAAGTTCTGTCCATTTACTCAGTTATACCATCACATACAGTCACACATCCATCACAATCTGAGTGGCAACAGGAAAAGCTAAGAGCGAGGTGCTCTCCAGCACCATCTGTGTCAAGACTCAGTAAGAGCAGATTACACTTTATGAAAGCAAACTGGCAAAAACCAAACTCTATGCTGTCCCACCCAGTCTTAAAAGCCACTTTAACACACTGCTCACTACTAAGTTTCCCAAAACTCTTGTACAGGAGTCACACTTGCCTCAAAATCCAGCGCCAGTGAGTCAACACAGCCTGTGCAAAAGAGAAAATAAGGCTCAGAGGTGACCTTATCACTCTCTACAACCACCTGAAAGTAGGGTGTAGCCAAATGGGGATCGGCCTCTTCTCCCAGTCAATAAGTGACAGGATGAGAGGACAGTCTGAAACTGTGCCAGGTTTAGGTCGGATATTAGGAAGAGTTTCTTCACAGAAAGGGTGATTAGACATTGAAATGGGCAGTGGGAGGTGGTGGAGTCACCGTCCCTGGAAGTGTTCAAGTGAAGACCGGACGTGTCACTCAGCGCCATGGTCCATGGTGGTCAGTCACAGACTGGACTCGATGATTTCGGAGGTCTTTTCTAACCTAACTGATTCTGAGAGCCGGAGAGCCACTGCACGCAGCCCCCTGTGCGGCTCTGGTTATTCCAAAACGTGAACAGACAGGGACAGACCCAGGCCCACCACCTCACCCTCCTCCGAGCGCAGCAGCTGCCAGCCCTGCCCCTCCCATGCTCTGACAAAGCCGAGGGAACACCCGCAGAGGCTCGAGGTGGCCGGGAGGCAGCCGAGTCCTTCCGACAGAGAGACAGCCACCTTTTAACAGCAGTTCCCTGACATGATGCACAGGGCGCCGCTTCCTGCCCAGCTCACAGCAGGGGCCCGGAGCCGGGGTCTCTCAGCTCCAGCCCGCAGGACGGATGCCCGCCAAGAGCAGCAGCACCGAGCCGAGGCCCGAGGGGAGCTGCGAGGGGCGATGCCGCAAGCGACCTCGGCTCCGCAAGCGACCCCCGGCCCGACCCCGCCCCAGCCCTCACCGGCCCCAGGCCCCGCGGGCGGAGCCCCCGACTCACCTGGCGGCGGCAGACGGCACCGGGAGCGGCTGGAGCGGCACTTCCGGAGAGCGGAGCGGCCACCGCCCCGCCGGGCAGGAAGGAAGCTGTGGGCGAGACCATTGCGCACGAACGGGAGGTGGCGGCTTGGCTCATCGCTTCGGCGGCCGGGCGCCACGAGCCGTGTCGGGGAGAGGACCCGCAGGGGCCCGCGTGTTTTGCGTTTTTGCCCTGGAGTCTCTGCCTTCCTTGAAGGAGAAAGACAGAGCCACGAGCTCAGCTCCTGGACCCTGTGTGTGCCCTCCCCCGGCGACGCGTTGGTGCAGCGCGGTGCGGTCACCGCATTCCAAGGGCGGAGAGAGTCGCGCGCCTTGCCTTGTAAGGTAACGGCGGGAGTTTCCTGCTCGCGCCGGTGGGCGGGGCCTTGCCCGCTCGCCCCGCCCCTGCCCCGCCCCCGCTGCGCCTGCGGGCTGGCCGGGGGATGCGCGGGGAGCGGGGGGCAGCGGGTGACACAGGGCCTCAGAGTCACAGAGTCACAGGAGGGGTTGGCCGGGTGCGGCCTCTCCTCTCAAGCACATGGCACAGGATTGCATCCAGACAGTTCTTGAGCATCTTCAGTGAGGGAGATGCCACACTCTGGGCTGCCTTGTTTCAGTGTGTGGGCGCCCGCACAGTAAATAAGTTCTTCCTCGTGTTCAGGTGGCACTTCCTGTACATCTTACTCCTTGGCACCACCGAGAAGAGCCTGGCTCCATCCTCTTGACCCTCCCTTCAAATACTTATATTTAAAAGGTCCCTTCTCAGTCGTCTCTCATCGAGGCTAAACAGGCCCAACTCCCTCAGCCTCTCCTCATGGGAGAGGTGCTCTAGTCCCTTGATTGACTTTGCAGCCCTAAACAGCCCAACACATGGTATGGCACTGTCCTGCATGCTCAAGAGGTGCTGCTGTGTCTGGAAGAGTCACAGGAGACCGCAGAATATCCTGACTTGGAAAGGACTACAGGCATCATAAAAGTCCAGCTCCCGGCCCTGCACAGGACACCCTAAGGACCACACCTTGTGCCTGGGAGCATTATCCAAACACTCTTTGAACTCTGACAGGCTTGGTGACTGCTTCCCCGGGGAGACTGTTCCAGTTCCCAGCCATCCTCTGGAAGCAGAACCTTTTCCTAGTAAATAATACTGGTTTTAAGCTGAGATGAAGAGGAATATGGGATGAACAGAAACATCATCCAAAAAACAGTGACCACAGGTCAAAAATACAAACAGCATCATATAACAAATAGATATCACAACCACTGTCTACATGGCCTAATTTATAACTTTGCATCTGATTCCACTTACTTAATTTTTACAGAGTTTGCAACTGTATATAAAGTCACATAGTCTGTGAAAGCAGTAAGAGATTATCCATTTTTTTGAGGGAAATGAACTTAACTGAGTGTCCAGGAGGTGTGTTCCCCCCATAGGCTCCCCTGGCAGAGAGCACAGCTCTGGGGGAACACACCTTTGCTCAGCACCTGTAGAGTCAAAACAAGCCTCTTGAAGTTTTCCCTGTCCCTGCTACTGCTGGCAGTATTTTTTACCTATAGGGAATTGTGGTGGTTGCTGTCACATCTCCCACCTTTCCCCGGGCACTGGCAGGATGCCAGACTGCCCACTTGGGATGAGCTAGATGTGTTGTAACAGGCAGCTCCTGACCCTGGAAACATGAGTTTCTGCCGTAGAGTAGCTCCAACATGGAAGCTGAGACCGGCTTTCCTCTCATGATCCAGTGGAATCTCAGGATCCATGAGAGGAAAGCCTGTCTCAGCTTTCCTTATGCTGGATACAAAAAGCATCTTTGTTTCTTATGCTTCTAGAGTACACTGCTTCCACAGCTG